TTTAACCACTTATGTCCTTTACGCCCTCGTCTGAACGGGGCCTGGAGACGACATTCACTTGTTTCCCTAGGAGCGGATAACATGTCTAAAACGTTATTTGAGGTTAGGCACAATTCTGTTCATTTCATTGTAGCTTGTATCAGTCATAATTGAAGAGGCAATTACAGTATTTCGGTGAACATTATTTGCGATACACTGCCCCATTATGTCAAAAACAAGGAATATATTTTATAATAGTGATAGCGAAAGTGACTTTGAGAAATCTAAAGAAGAATTGTTTAGTGATCCTGAAATTGACAATTATAATGAAATACAAAGCGAAGGTGATGAAGACGATATTGAACTAGAAAATGATGACAATTGTAATATAATATCAAGGTTTCGAAGACGCACAAGACGTCTATCGAGCAGTGATAGTGAATCTTCTCGTGAACGAGTATCAGAGGAATGGATTTGGGAAGAAGAAGAAAATGTAGCCAATATGAAAGTTTTTCTGAAATATCTGGAATTAATCCTTTGAGCCTGCGTAGACTAGGTAGTAATCCTACGCCTTTAGATTTTTGAAAGAAGTCTTGAATGAAGATTTTTGGTACACTATAGTAGAAGAGACGAATAGATATGCCAGACAAGGGACAGAAAAAGAAGGTTGCGTAAAAAAAAAAAAAGGTGGTTTCCTGTAAGCTCTGCTGAAATGAAAGCTTATATTGCATTATGCATCTTGATGTCGCACATGAAGAAGCCAAAAATGCATATGTATTGGTCAAAACGATATGCAATAAGTACTACTACTCTCAATTTTTGCCAGCACTATGGCACGCGACAGGCTTTTGATGTTTCAAGCTTTCTACATTTTACGGATAATGAAGAGGAAAATAAAGATAACAGAATAAGAAAGATTATTAATATAGTGGATTACCTAAACACTAAATTTTGTTACATTTATATTCCTAAAGTGAAGTAGCTATTGATGAATCGCAACCAAAAATTATATCCGTTTCACATGCAAAGATTTTCTCAAATAAATCCGTACCCAATGGGTTAATGTAAAATGTACTAATTCGTTCCTGGACCACAGATGATTGTTTATTTAATCTTTGAAACAGTAGTTTAGGTATAAATAAACCATATAAATCAATAAACCAAAACTAGTGGAAATTATTAAATATAAAACAATAAACAGATAAAATAGAAGAAAAGTTAATTTAATTGTATTGTACCTGTAAGAGGTGAAGTGGATGGAGTAAGTAGAAAACGATAAGAAAAGTTTTAATATTTGGATGTGGGATTCCCTTCTATAAAAATACTCAGTAACTTTTATTAGGAGGCATCTTCTTTTATCTTTCTTCTGTGTCTCTAAGAACCAATCAGCTCTGCTGAAGACTACTGGCTCTCTTGTTTCAATCAGTTAATAAACAAAGTGAAACAGTGAAACTAAGTGAGCAAATCAAATATAGTTGTTCTAAGTTTTAAATTTTTTTTCTTGAGGTATGGGATTGTCATGGAAAATGGTTTATGGTGTAGGTTGCAACTGTTTTATTAGCTTGTTATCGCTACGTAAAAACTTTGCATTTTACTCCATTCCTCACAGTTATAGCGAAATAGAGAACTAGGGTAACTTTGCTTTCCCCTCTTTTTCTGAAAACATTTCTTCTATAGTCGCCTTTTGTTGCAGCTTAAATTGTTGTAAATTTTTCTTGTGAATTCATTTTTATGGTCCTTCTGTAACTCCTCTACGTCTTGTTCATTGTTAGTTTTCTATACAATGGTTTTGCATAGATAACAAAGAAGGTCCTAAGTGTCAAACCCCTCAAAGTTTCTCCACGGAACCCAATCTGGCTGTAATTCCCTCCAGACTGAATTCATGATCTTAACGTCAATTGCAATGAAGCTTTGTGAATGAGAGTTTAGCAGTGGAAACTATTACAATAATGTTTTCATAAGTCTTAAAGTGTTATGAGGCGCATTCATCCAATGCGTTTTTTGTTCAGATAATTTGTTCGTGATTCGAGGTTCCACTGTATAATAAATCACTATAGCCGTTAATTATGTAGGTTTAAACAGTAAGTTTTTCTTTTTAAATAATATTCTGCGATTCGTTCTTTTTCGTCAATATTGCCTTCTCATAACGGCGATGTAAATCGAGTTGGTGTGAAACAAATCTGCTAAAACACAATGTAAACAGAAGGACCCGTTCTCGGCATCCAGAAATATTTTGAAACCTTGCTTGGTCGGCCATCTTTAGGTTCTAAATGATTCTTGTCTCCACTGGAGTTGGTTGACTCAGAAAGCTGATCTTCAATAGCAATATGTATTCTGAGATAGGTTGCTAAAGGTAGTTGCTAAGACGTTCTAAAGGTAGTTGTTAAGAGAAGTTTCACTGTATATTGTTTTTATGCAATTAATCTATGTAAAAATAAGTGTTTCTAAATAAAATTAATATAAATATTAATATTGTCAGTAAATGAGTATTAAAGAGTTATGGTGTGTGGTTATGGTGTAGGTAGTCATTGGGTGATATCGATGCATGAACGTGAGAAATGAGCAGTTCCCTCGCCAGGATTCGAACTCTGGATCTCCCGAATACGCCTCGAGTGTGCTTTCAGTTACGCTACGAAGCATGACGAAAGGATGAAGAAAATCTCTTAGGGATTAATAGTAAATTTGTTATTATCAGTGTCCGTTTGCGAATGTAGATTGCAGTTACATAGTCCTGTACCTAGGTGTTGTTCAACAATAGGGCTGGGTATGGACTTGCATTAAGATCAACTTAGCAGCTAAATGTTCACGGAAGTGATTAGTCGTCTCAAATTCTATGGGGCAAGGGCCCTTTTCCAGGACAGTATCTCGCTTCGGGGTACCTTTTTTCCGGATAATGTCCCATATTCTGTAAATATTCCGGTATTTTTTAAATACATTTGACAGGAATTTTGTGCTTGCTGTCGGTCATGAAAATGTTTTTGTGTAATCTAAAATTTATAAATAAATTGATTGATTAAAATATAATAAATTGATAATAAATTGATTTTTCTGTATTATGCATTTCAGGTAAATAGCGAGGTCCACAAAATTAATGATGTATGAAGGAATTTCTGAATTTTCTTCCCATCTCCGATTTTTAATTTGGAATGTTAAATTATCTGAGGAGTTCTAAACGGATCACCTTTTAGAAATAAAGTAGAAGATAAAAAAGTGGAGAAAAGTTTGATTTTTCAAAAGAAAACAATTTGACAAACAGTTATCAGATGAGAAATTATTCGGTGAAATATTGCATTTAAAAAAAAAAAATATGAAATATTCAAAAAATAAACAGTTATACGACTATAGATCAGGAGCTGGGCAAAATCCTTCTCATATTTGGAACAATCATACTTTTTTTAAATCTGTATAATTAATAATTGAACTGTAAGATTCTAAACTTTGAATGTTACTGCCATGTATCTGGAACGTTGAGAACTGTTAAGCGAATAATCGCTTTAGCTCAAAATGATAGAAGTGTAAACTTAAGAAGGGTTGAATACCCTTTATTATTCCAAATAAAGTTTAACATATGACTCCTTTCTTGGAGTTTACAATAGAGCCTCCTTTCGGGCTTGAACTCAGGAAACTAAGAAATAAGACTTAATTAATCTGAACTAAAAAGTTATAGCCGAAGCTAACAAGATTCTAACAGAGTTGGCCCCTAACGCTAACTAATGGCGAAGCTATCAAAGGCCTAAAGTACGGCCGAGTGTAATAATAGCTTGTGAGAGAGTATCGCCAAAAGGCTAACGCGCGCTGAACAGAATCTCAGGCTCTCTTTCGAAGTCAGTAGAACTTCACAGTTAAATATTCTCCTCATTTGCATTCAACCGCCATTCTGAAAATACGTTCTGGACGGAAGTTGTAAGCTGAAATTAAGGCAAGACAGGAAAGTAACTTAAAATTAACTGTTAGAAAATTAAGATAAACCTTACAGAACTTAACAATTGAAGTAGCATAGCATATGTTTCTAGAATGAATTCGATGAAACATGTTTGTGGCAACCACGTCTAGAAGTAGACAGTATTTCTGAAAAGAGTATTATGTAGACAATATTTCTATAGACAATATTAATTTTGTTCGAAATAAATACTGTATTGAACGTTACCTACGGTCATATTCTGGAAGGTATCACAGATGACAGAAATTGAACAGAATCACAGATGAAGAACCGTTGGGTGTGTTTAGGTAATTTCACTGCTGTTCGAAAAAGTGAAATTTTTTTCAAACTTGTTAAAAGATGTCGAAATTTTCTTGTTCCACATCGGCTTCGGAGAAATTGTGATTATTTTAGATCTGTGATTCATGCAGTGGGACAAGGGATAAAATTGGTTATTATCTGGTGATGAAGTAAAATATGTATCTTCTGATAACTCATATGATTTGGGGATCATCTGAGTTATCAGAAGATGCAGTGAGATATGTAGGTCATATAATGTTTGCGTTGTGTCACTGTGCCAACACATCGCCCACCTTTACTGACTATATGTGATTATTCGTAACGCAGTGATGATAACATTTCTTCTATAACAATGAAAATGGCATACATGGTTCTTCAATATGTGTTAAGAAGTTTGATTTAGTGATTTTTATTTCATATGGGAAAAGATTTTCTGCGAGACCTTGTACTTCCCTGTTTTAAGAAAATAATTTATTTTTGATATGCTCAGTTTTTCAAAACACCAACATTAAATTTCAAAGCAGCGTTCTTCTGTTCCATTTAATAACATACTTTATTTAGCATCCCAATAACAATGTTTATAGTATTTGCCTCAGCAAATAAAAAGGTGAAGCAATATACGAGGTATATCTTTGAAACTATTCCTTTTACTAACATTATATGTACGTGTATGTAGTCTCGAGATCGTGCTTTCACTTCCTAAAGTTTAGTATTCTGAAACTTTTGCTATAATGAAAATTTTTGAGATATTGTCCAGATATTGGATGCCTTATTTCAGTCTAATTAGTTTTGCCTTACACAGGAAGCAGTGCAAAAATGGTGCTAATTCCGATTTGGCAGTTCAGTTGGATGTGTTCGATGAACAGCGGTCAACGGACGAAGGACAGTTTTCGGGGCCAGACGGTGTTGATCTTAGTTCTCATATGGATGTCTTCTTTGCTATTCTAAGACAGGTATGAAAAATACATTAAAAAAGTTAGAGTTTGTATAAATGAAGAATTGAATTCATTGAATAATAATACTGAAAAACTCATATAACAACTTTAGAAAATTAAACCGTTAAATAAAACTAGGATTATGAGTTGTCAAAAATAAGGGTATAAGGTTTGGATCTCTGGAAACCTAACTGCTAACAGCCTCTTATTAACTGGAAACTTTACTTGTGATTATTACCTTCGGAGTCGTTTTTTGTGCTTGTTATTACGCTGCGCGTGGGCCATTTACCATCTTTCTATTATAACTCAATATCATATTTTTTTCACTTGTGATTAGGATATCATAACAGTAGACGTTAAAGATAATATGCCTAGCATTTTAACTTTTTTTCTTCATATGGGTATAGATATTCCTAAATTGAATTAAATATTCTTTAAAAATTGCCATTATGCTTTGCACTAAAATATATTTTCTCTGAGATTTCCCTTTAAAACTGCAATTCTAGTACTAAACTACTCTATAGTTTAAATTCCCCCCCCCTAAAATTTTTAGATTTAAATTAAAAGTAAATTATAATAAAATTCCAAAGACACTGTTTTGAGAATAAACGAGCTACATCAAATTAATTTATTTGGACTATCTAGATATAGATAGTTTAAACAAACTCATATTCTCCTAGTTTGTTAAATTTGTAATGTTTTGAAATTAATAGCTTACACTGCATTGTATTATAAATGTGTACATTTTAACAATCGAAAGATAAAATCTATGCTATATATTTTATGCTATTTATTTTTAGAACAGGTATCAAAATTTCGTTTGCTTTCTTAACATCAATGTACTGTTACTTTTTTTTTTTTTTTTTTTTTTTGCTGAAGATGTCAAAATCTGAGAATGGCTCCGCCATCACACATGTCATTGAATCACTGGGTCGTTCTCCAATGATACAGACTTCAAAGTGTCAATCAAATCTTTCGAGAATCTGGTAAAACAGCTGGTCAGATTTTACTTTTATTGCCAAGAAAAACAATCAGTTTTGAGTGAAAAAGCCTTCTCTAGCGCACTTACTTTACTGTCTGGTTTTTAATATTATAGTATCTTATATTAGTATAAATATATTGTATTTTCACCTTTTGTACATATTGTACCTTTGTATATATATTGTATTTTCACCTTTTCCAATTTTTTATTTTATATTAAAATAAACATATTATTTTTAGATAGCTGAAACTCCGCAAGAGATACCTTTCCTGAGTATTTTGCAGCATTTGCTTCGTACAGATCTTAGCCAACCTCTATCCGAAGTCGTATGGGAAACTGCGGAAACTCTAGTCCACCGTGCTACACTTCTAGAGAGCAAACAAGAGGCTGACAGACTCCTAAGGGCATCAAATCTTGGTGGTTTGATGCGCTGCCACTGTTCCTGCCATTACAAATCCACCACATCGAACACTGAAGACTGTGATGTCACCCCCAACAAACGGAACAGACCCACTCATTTGTCTTTTTGTTCGTCTGACGGTGTTCGGACTCCAGGCTCAATCTTATCCCCAAGTCTCTCTCACCCTCCGCCAACACCGTATGATACAGCTGCTAGTCCTATGGTTACATCGTGCGTCAATGACGCTTTCAAGTCACCAACGAAAGGCTTGTTAAAACAAAACTCTGAATTCTTTCCTAATGCTGTCAGACAAAATAGTATTGCCGAACAAATAGTGCCAACAAAAAACAATGCCATATATAGCCAGTGTTGCAATTCTATGTCTAAGCATCAAACATCAGACGTGTTGTTGAACGACGAGTCTCAGGATCACAGCAGCATTTCAGCTAAGTGTAATAATAAGCCTTCAAATGATACTGTTTCTTCTAGTGTTCCAAATTCTAATCTGGAGTCATCAAACTGTGATCAAGGACATAACACCAATAATGATATTATATCTCAAATTCAAATTAATGGACAAATTTCTCAGAATATACCTCCTCCACCACCACTCCCTCCACAAAGTACAGGAGGAATGCCGTTACCACCTCCACCACCGCCACCACCTCCTTCTTTCGCAATAGCACCTCAAATCAAAAAGTCAGCAGTCGAAACAACTTTACCTCAACAGAACACACCAAAGCCAAAAACTAAAATGAAATCCTTCAACTGGAGTAAAATTCCAGTGAACAAAGTAATCGGTAAAGACAATCTATGGTCAAGGGTAGCGAAAGATCATACTGGAAGTCCCAACGATCTCGATTTTGATGTTATGGAAGGATTGTTCTGCCAGCAACCAGTAACTACTAATGGCCATGTGTCCCCGAAATTTGGAGATTCGAGCGATAATAATGACAAAAAGAAAAAGGAGATTCAAGAGGTTTGTTATAAATTCCATAATATTAGCTGCTTTTTTACCACATGAAAATACGCTGCTGAAGATTTCCAATTTGCATTCTCTTATCAAATACAGATCTATTAATAAATTTCGAGCAGATTTTTTTTAAACAGAAATAGTTAGTATGCTAGTATTTAGTTTAAAATTCGTCTTGAAGGGAAAAATAAAATTTGAACACTGATAATTTCCTTCTTTCAATGAAGTGCAGGTTTTACATTTTTAATATTGGACTATCCTCAGATCACATCTTTTAAAGGCTGATTCTATGGCAGGATAATATTAATGTCGAAATTACATTCAACTTCCTTTAATTCGCAAACCTGTAGAGCCATTAGGTATATTTTTGGAAGCAGGAGAATTGAAAAAATTAGCAACGCCTTCGCCGGGAATCGAACCACGGACATCTGAAATACCAGCTCAGTGTGCTGACCACTATACCACGAAGGCACACTAGGAAGGCAGGAGAAATATCTTACATACTCCCCCTTTTAAAGGGCGACTGGGGTTTTTAGGGGACCCAATCGCCAAATCCTAGGTGTGGAGAGTCATCATCCTCAACCCTTTTAGTTTGGGCGCCACTGTAGAGACATTAGGTTAATTGGAAGTGGGCAAGATGAAAAAATTAGCAGCGCCTTCGCCGGGAATCGAACCACGGACCTCTGAAATATTGACTCAGTGTGTTGACCACTGTACCACGAAGGCACGCTAGGAAAGCGGGAGAAATACCTTACAAACCTTAGAACCAAGAGTTGTGCGGATTTATATAAATCATGCCTTTCTGAAATTTGTTTATATTTTTCCTTTTCTAAATTTTACATTAAATTTGGATTTTTTTGCGTATAAATAATTAAATCAAATGCACGTATTAAGAATTCATTAATACAGAACCATCATATTTTTTAAGTATATTAACGTAATAGACACCGCATAATGTGATCACGGTTAATGTTATCGTTCGAATATTGTAATCAAATTGCCCAAGTCCAGCCCATCTGTTTACGGAAGCATAAGTGAGTCAGTGAGTTAGGGCCGCTAAAGTAATTCACGTACTGTGATGAACAGTGCGGTTGATATGATTAAAATATTACGGAAAGGAAATTTTTGAAACTGAAGTAAAATCGCCAGAAGGTCAAAATAAATTATAAAAATTGGCAAATGACAAAGAAGTGTCACCAAGGGATTCAGTTACCCAATAGCTTAGTTTTAATTTCAATCAACCATTTAAAATTAAACAAAAAAAAAGCGACTTTAGTTTGGCGTAGATTAGCAGCGTATTTTCATGAATACCTCTATCGATTTTGAAGGCGGTCAAACACAGGTCCCTCTTCTTCAGGAGCAGAAATTTTCTCCTCTTTCTTTGCTCCTGGAAAATAAAATGTACGAAAACATTTACTAAAGATTTTTTTTTTCCGGGGGAGGGCCTGATTTTCAGTTTTACATTGGCATGCTCTCTTTCAATTAGGAATGCCCTCCAAGTATTAAGAGTAGGGGTACAGACAGCATCGGTAAATTAATTTCAAGAAATTTTTAGAAACGTTATGAACAGTGTATAAATGAACTTTTACATTAAAGACATTGGTTATGAACAGTGTATAAATGAACTTTTACATTAAAGACATTGGTTATGAACAGTGTATAAATGAACTTTTACATTAAAGACATTGTGGACAGTTCATAAAGAAGTTATTGCCTTTTCCGAAACAAAATGCTGCGAAAATATCTGTTTGTATTAAATTCCTTATTTACTCATCGCTTAATGTTATCAAAATAGTAGTCGACTAACATGATCACATTAAGCGGCGCCTATAATTTTGATAGTGATTTCTTTTATATTTTTGGAACATCATTTCTATTGTTGTTTATTTTTCTATTGTTGTTGTTAACACTTTATGTTTCCCTATTATTTTTTTTCTCTAAGTATATATAATATCAATATTTCCTATGGTCTGTAGTAAATTTGTTTCTCTAAAAGATAAGATACTGTTTACATAATGCTAAATTCTCAATGAAAGTAATTCTTGCTTACTGATTATCAGATTCAGTAATCTTAATTTACTTTAAATAATTTCATCCCCAGTGAGCTAAACTGTATTAATAATAATAGGAGCGTCATTTTTGAAGTTCTTCTAGTCTAAAATATTTTCTTTTCTGTAAAGATCAGGGAAATCTGGAGCTCCAATTTGGGCAAACAAAGTAATTCTTATACTTTTGCATATAACTTAAACTATGCAATGTCACATTCAGTTTCATTTGTAGCAACAAAGCCAATGTTCATTTACAAGACATTTTCCCCCAGAAACTCATCTCTACTATTAAGAACCTGTTATATGCATGTTTGTATTTTCCTAGCATTGTGGAAAAATGGCGGCACCTACAACCACCAAATTTTGAACACATATATCCTCCACCCGAAGTGGTAAGCCTTAATGTGAATTTCGAATCTGTTTCTGTTTCTCATTTCTTTATTTCTTCTTTCCCCGAGTGTAAGGAACTTTTGATTAAAAAAAAAAAAAAAAAAAAAAAAATCAGCGATATAAAAGCTATGTGGTTTCTGCAAAATGTGAGATACTTATATTTCAAATTAAATCAGAAAAACTCAGTGATATTATAAGATATTTCTCCCGCTTCCCTAGCGAGCGTTCGTCGTGTAGTGGTTCTGCACACTGGCCGGTATTTCAGAGGTACGTGGTTCGATTCCCGGCGAAGGCGGTTGCATATTTTTTAATCTTTTCTGCTTCCAGTTAACCTAATGACTCTACAATATAAAAAAGTTTGTTGCCATTCGGAAAAACGCAATATATTCTTCTTTCGAACTTAATCAACAAACTCAGCCCTTTAAAAGAAATGTCTGCCATTGCCCAAATTACAATATTTTTATATTCTACATGGCACTACGTTGTCGTTCAGCAAAGCGTCAGATATTTATTTTTTCTTACAAATTAATTTTGTTATTATTCAACAAACCAAACGATTGAAAAGCAATAAAGACGAACTCTTTTCAGTATCTGGGCAGTGAAATGATCTGGACAGTGAAATCACTATCTGGACAGTGAAATGACATTAGCACGATTCAATAAAATCATGACATATATTTTTCATTTTTGTATTACGCGATAGGCCACGCAAGCGGCTAATAAATAAAATTGTTCAATTTTTACAGATCTAGTCCGTGTATTAATAATAACAATAATAATAATGCACTTGCGCATACAGAAAAAGCTAAGTAACTTGCATTTGTAGATACCATTAAGCATTTTATTTCGAATCAGGAGATATAAAAAATATGCAGTACCCTCACGAAGATTCGAACTTCGGACCTCTCGATTGCTGGTCGGGTGTGCTGTCCAGTTACGTCACGAAGCAAGACCGACATCAGGGGCGGTGGGTGCAGCTTGTTTTACTGCGACGGGCGGGAAAATTCAGGCGCGGCGAATTTTTTTAAATTTAGGTACACAACTGAGCGGCAGAACTTAGAAGCCACAAATTCTGCCCTGAGCGGCAAAAGCGTAGTACCGAACATGCGAGGAGGGAGAAAGTACCTTAACACATTAATTAAATTAATTTTGCTTTTTCAGCTAAACTATATGTTACCTATATTGTATACTCTTGTTAAAATTTGTTTGCATATGTACACGTAACAAAAATTGCTGATAAATTTGTCACCATGTTTAATTCTCTGAGAATGAAAGTTTTGTTTGTTTACATCAAAATGCGTGGATTACAAGCATTCGCGTATTGGGAGTTCTTTCATGTAACGCTTTCGAATGTTAATGGCATTGTCATGTTTTTTATTTTCTTTTACAAATGTATTTTCATGACTCTTTTATACCTGCAGATTAACCTGTTGGATGGGAAAAGAAGCTTGAATATCAATATATTTTTAAAGCAGTTTCGCAGGTAAGAATGGCAGTTTACGTAGTACTTAAGTATATGTTAATTGTATGTATTTCAATTGTATATTGTCTTATATAGTATTCAATTGTATATTGTCTTATATAGTAATAAGTGTCAGGGTGGTCTTAGTTATACATAGTGAAGTATCAGGGTGAAGTTTACATTCTATTGTAGTTTATTATGTATTCGAAGATAAAAGTATAGATTCAACCTTCTCAAATAGCATATTCAGTAAGCGCTTAAATTAAAAGAAAATGAAAACTGATCAGTTTGTCTGGGAGAAGTATTAAATCATACCATGCATAAAAAAAGGTTTTACAGAAACTTATTATGGAAGTGAATAAATTTTAAAAAAATGGTAATTCTTTGTTTTTATTTAACTTCATTCACACTGATTTAACATGGCTTGCTATTTTTAGCCCAAAATGACATTAGCCTGAATGTTCTATTAGTCTTGAAACGGGATTATGCGTCGTCTACTGCAAACAGATGTATCATCTTTCAGATTGTTGCCACAAAATATTATTACCGTGTATTATTTTAAAGAAATTAAATAATTAAGAATATGTATGTATGTTCCTTGCACTATGAAAAAAATGGCAGTACCTAGGGCCATCATTTTTGAATAACGTGGCGCTCTACCCGAACATGTGCGCCTGAAAGCCCGAATTTTGAGTTTCGAATTTTATAGTTCAGATTTTTTAAAACTTTACACTGAACTTTTGATAACAAACACAGCAGTTGGAAAGCGAATAGTACCGACGCTGTACGAATAAAACATTATCTCCATCGCGCGAGATTCACTATTCTAAAAATATCCAGTTTGTTATTATTTTGTGATCTTTTGTGATCTTGTTGTTGAATTGAATTTTATGTGGCATAAGTGCAAAGAGCATGATATTTAATTAATAAATTTTAACACACAAAACGTTACTAATATAAATACAGAAAGAAATGTTTTGCAAGCCGTCTTACTAAGAAAACTGAATATTCATATGATGAATTGAGAAAAGACTGGGGATGGGAATTTAATGAAAAATCTGAAAGCTTTCAGATTTTATTGGGCGTTTTTTTTTTTTTTTTTTTTTTTTTTTTTTTTTTTTTTTAAACGTTTTGCGTGCTACCTTTATTTATTAAATATCATGTTCTTCTCACTTAAACCACAAAATTCAATTCAACAGCAGTATCACAAAACAATTTAAAATGAGCATATCTTTAGATCTTTAGAATTTCCGAAAAACAGTTTCGCGCGCTGGAGATAAAAACTTTTTTTTCTTTTTTTCTTTTTTTTTTTTTTCCCCTCCCCCGTACGGTGTTTCCATTGCTCGCTTTGAAATCGCTGAGTTTGTTCATGAAAAATTCGTTAACGTGTTTCAGAATATGAACGATAATAAAACAAATTCCAGGTTCCAAATTAAGGCTTCCATATTCTTATCAACTTGAAAAAACGTTTCAAGGGAAGGGATACCTTCCTGGAGGACTTTCTAAGGGAAACTGGCTATTATACACGTTTACACATGGGATAAACAACGAAAACGCCCATGCAACCAGCCCGTTCGCCTGAAATCGAACCCTGGTTGGAACTACCATTGTTCAACGATTTTACCACTCGCCAGCTGTTAGGCCTATGAGAGGAAGTCCAGTTCTTTTACTATGGTCTCCAGTGCATTGAGATAAACTCTCTAAGAGCACTCTTCTAAGAGCATACTGTAAATGCTGTGTGAGATTCAAATATCCATTTATTTCCATTTCAGTAATAGATTCATCAAACTGGATTGAATAACAATACTTAAGTTTGCTTCTGCTCATTCGATGGAAAAGTAAATTAGATCAACTAGTTTCTTCTTGAAATATTGCTATTTTTTTCATATGTAAAGGTAATTTGGGCAACAGCTTAAATAAGTGTACTTTACAGACAAGGTATTCAGATGATATAGAATTCGGCTGAGCCTTATAACCCCCTTCCCCCTTTTCCTAATAAATTTATCAGGGTGACATAACACTGAAAAACTTTTCATAGAATAAGTAAAGGTCAGTGATCATCCATGGTGATATACAGCGTATTTATGGTATACGTAGTGAGACCTAGGAAAAATTCCATGCAGCCAGTATATTGCAACACGGATAGAAGATTATTTCGTTATTTTATCTAACTAACCACTGGCGTAAAGTAGAGGTTGCGTAGCTATTTATTTATTACTAAATATAAACTAAGTTTTTGCTTTAAATAATAGATTGAAATATTTAAGATAAAACTCATGAAACCTATTTCCCTAGACTCTGCTTTTTACTTTATAAGAACAATCCTAATTTTAATATTTGGGTGAAATGTTAAACGTCTGAATCCCCACAAATTTTTACTCGAAAACTCATATTTGTCAATACCCGCATTGTAATGACGTATAAGTTTTTTCCGAATTTGATTATTTCCCTCTGTTAAAGTATTTCTTAAGTTTTTAAAGCAGTTGGGGGTTTATTGTGGCACTTTTCGGGCATTTCAGAGCATTTTGAAGCATATTCTAGCAGTCAGACTGAAACTTAAAGTTGCCCTTGACATAACACTGTCTCAATTCCTATGAACTCATTTTTACTAGGCACGCATCAGAAAACTGATCATATAATCTGTTAGTCCTTTCTATCACGGCAGACCTTTTCAGGGTTACTTCTGAGAACTTTTCCATATCGGTATTTCGTAGCTTTTTAAGACATTTTGCGCATATCCACTTCCATAGGTTTATATGCAAGAGGAAAAAGCTTTTCTACGTATAACATTCTTGGAATTACACACTCACAGCTGCTATGTGCAATACACTTTTCTATTTCGATAAAATCTCAGGATTTTTTAATTTAATTTAATTTAATTTTTTTCCTCAGCTGGTATAGTCTATTGGCGGTATTTTGGCGAACGACCTTGGATCTTTCCATTTTAAAAAACCCACTATCGAATTAAGAATGCTGTAAAGGCGAAAGACATTTGGGCTTACTTTTCACCAAACGATTCTTTTGCCTCGAAAGTTTGAGTAATGTATTTTTTTTAATTTAGAATAGAGATGAAGATGTCATAGTAGTAGTGGAAAGTAGCTTTTCACAAGATAAAAACTTACATACTGACAAGACAACATATTTCACTTTCGAAAACATCAAGAAGCACTTTTCAATGAAATGTTACCTACATTTGTGTAAAGTTGAAAAATCGGAAGGAAAAATAAAATGCAGTTAGAGATATGTTTAATTGGTTGAGCTTTATCAATTGTGTCATTTTTATATTATTATTCTTTAGTTTTGGGGGACTTTTTTATTTTTAAGGGCATTTTTTCCATTTTGATAGCATTTTCGGTCATTTTTAAGGCCTTTTTCTCTGAACTTTTAGGGGTCATCGAAACCCGGCCCTTGTTTATAATACATGTCTGGAGCAGTTGCTTAACGTCTTTTGTGTTCACAAAATACTATGAATAAATGCGATCTATTTTGTGATGCGTATCCGTATCACTCATATTTCAATTTGCGCACTGTTTAAATCAAACTCGGTCAAAATTATTTTTCATTCAATTAAAACGGTTTCGATAAATTGTAGCATTCGTAAATAGGTAACGCAGAAAGATAAATTTAGCGCCTGTCACGAAATGATACTACGCTGTACGAAAGTAATAGTTATTTGCGTATATTCAGCTATTGATGCACGCACTAGAAAACAAACAATACTTTTCGGTAAAGAATATTTTACAGTAAGAAAGAACGGACTCAAGATGATGTTATCGTGTGTACTACAAGTTCCTCAAGGAAATATTTTACTGCTATAATTTGTAGCTTAAAGTGCGATATTCCTAGTCTGGTTTAACTAGTTTTCAGTTCAGGGTTTAATCATTGAAAGCGTAATGCCATCTCGTTTAACTTTTCCATAGGCTGAATGCTGTGTTTCTTTTGTTCCAGATCCCTGTAACCGTCAGATGGAATATGTTCCCAATCAGTCATCTCGATTTCCCTTTTACCAACCTCTTCCAGGCTTTTTTTTTTTTTTTTCAAATAATTTTATTTACAGCTTGTGAGTCAGTCATCAAACAAACGTGAAAGGATATTGAATAGAAAGCGCGGGAGGAATAGGCCAAGGTCGTCTTCTCTGCTATCATTTTGAAATTTCTTTTTCTTTTGCGTGTTTGGCTTTGCGGATAGAGCAAGCCATGCGCGGGAAAAAGCCTTGGCTAGTTGTTTATTCTAATTCAGACTGTCAATACAAATATCTAGGAATTGTTCCGCTCGTCTTGGGCGTGGGAATCGTGAAATGTCGATACAATGATTGCCAGCTAGTAAATAGTAACCGTAAAATATTTTGATTTTTTTTTTATTTTCTTACTTTTCTTTCTTTCTTTTTTCCTCCAATCTTATAGATATATATATAGGGTTATCAGATCTCGGACAGTTGGTTGTATGTGTATTTGTTTAATCAAGTTTGGCGCTAAATACGTCAGTTCTAGTACAAAACATTTTTCAACCATAAACAATGTAAGATTACAACTATGAACATCATTATTCACAGCTGTGAACAGTTAATATGTCTTCAGAAACAAATCGGTTACAAGTGTCAATACGTGAGAAACATTTGAACTTGAAAGTGAATTCCAAATATTCGTATATTAAATTTCATAAACCAATATGAAAGAGTTTCTAAAGGAAATAAAAAATACTCAAGAGTGGAGCAAAAACAAGAATCTCAGCCATCCATCTCATCTGTTGCTTTAATATGCTGCAAATGTTTGCAGTCTACTTTTGAGTATCTTGGAAAATTTTATCGTCAACGCTGTTTAATATTTTATTCTTTCCTACTGACTTTTATCTATCATACTGTCGCAACCTCTGTGGAATGTGGCTCGAATTCAAGTTCTTTTTTCCCAACAACAAAACAACTAAAGTTTATGTATAGAAATAATTATTTTCAGAAAGGCACGGCCTACTCATTTTTTACAAGAATCAAACTATGGACTCCTCGATGAATCAGAAACTCAAAGCTAATTTGTTGAAGCTTTTAAAATATACTGCTCTATCTTTTGTAGCAAAACCCATTTCCTTTCACTTCTTGTTGTTTTCTAACCACTGAAGTTAAATTTTCATAAAGTTTTTTCAAGTCATGGCGCATTAGCTGATAATTTTCAACGGAAATAAACGACTGTAGAATATATCATTTCCTCAGGAAAATAAACCACTATGCATATACCTTTTCATGCACAAATACAAAATGCACTTCTTATTCGATTCCAGTGGGATCATATGCGCCATTCTTTCCCCCCTATGAACGCACATGGTTCAGGATTCTTGTTCTTAAAAAATATGGTAGTACTATAGTTTAAACTGAATAATTATGATTTTGAACCTCGTAATTCTTGAAATCGTATGAACTTTAATAATGTGTAAAATTTGATATTAGAAAAGTTCAGTTCCCTTAAAGCTCAGCTAATATGCATATAACCGACGTACAAATTTCATGAAATTTAAGAGAACAGAAATTAATGTGTTTTTTATGAGGAGGGATGGGGCATGCCCTCTTAATAAGAAATCCATGATTTTTTATGTAGAGGTGTATATCCTGACTGGGTGATGATATAATTTAATCTTTTATTGTCTTACAAAGTAAATATAATTTTTACGCAAAATAAAACTATCAGTATATGAAAAAAAATTGTGTCAGCTCATTTCTATCATAAAAATGTTTTGTGATTTCAAAGAAACTGTGCTTTTTAAATTAATAGTTTATAGATTAAATAACTATGAAATTTCAAGTAATGCAATATTTTTCCTCATTTAGTTCGCACGAAAATATCGTGAGAATACTAGAGGACGGAGCTCATGAAGATCTTGGAGCTGAAAGATTAAGAGGATTACTCAAAATCCTTCCGGAATCCGATGAGGTAAGGACTGAAATCAAACAATTTATTAGAAACGGTAGAATTTTGTAGTTTGTGTACATATGATCTCAACTTCTAATTTATTTGTCAAGGCTTCTTAACTAACTAACAATCAAACTAAAAACGTAATGCGGTCATAAATACTGAAATACGATAGAAATATTTCGATTTCCATAATAACAAACATTAAAAACTCCGAAAAAACTTAAATAATTTTTATATTTGGACTTTAAAATCCACAAATTAAAAAATAAATAAAAAACCCCATTGTTTTGTATATAAAAACTAGATGTTTATTAATTATACTTAATAGGAGTTCGCCCACATAATGTGAACACTAGTCAAAGGAAAGTACTGCGTATTGAAAAGTGTATAGAACTGTTTTAGGCATTAAAATTAAGCAAATCGTTTTAGATGAGATATTGTATCATTCTTCCTCAAAAACTGCTCTATTAATTGTTCTGTGTTTTTGAACATAACTGATAATATTAAAATTTGATAATTGTGAAAACTTCGGAACATGTGTAACTAACTTCCTGCAGGCATCTCAAAGTATAACTGGACATTTTCAGCTCTTTGACATGAAATGTTTCCTTCTTGGAAAGTGAATCACCTGTTGTTGGAAACCGTGATATAACCGCGTGTGCAAAACGATTCCCCCCCTTCAATCTTGAAGAAGACAGTCTGATGATATGCTTCGGGTGTAGTTCTATACCTCGCCTACCAGCGGCTGAGCGGTAAAAGTTGCTGAACACTGGTAGTTCGGCCCGCGGTTCGATTCCCATGAACAAGCTGGCTGTATAGGTGTTTTCGTGCTTTTCGCCATGTGTAATGTGTGAACTAGCCAGTTTCCCTTAAAGTCCTCCACGAAGGCATCCTATCCTATAAGCAGATAGCCCTCGAGGCCTTGCCGTAATCACATAAACCAAACCTTTCGTGTTCACTTGATTACCAAAAGGCTTAGAAGTTCGCAATAGTAGCTCTGCACGAATTCCTTCGTACTGTCAGATTGAGAATTAATTATCTTGTGCTGTTAAAGTAGAAACTCTTTTCTACCGACGAAGGCTTAGTTCCGTATACATTTTCATTGGTCTTTTTCTTGGAGAAAAGAAGCCTACTTAATATTTTGCTGTCAATCTGTAATAATTTTCTGCCAAATTTGCGTTTTATAACCGGTGTTTCCTTCGAATTATGTATGATGCCATGATATTAGGCATAGTAGCTCTCGGTACGTCCAGTGTGATAAATGTTTTGACGCGCCGATTAGCCAGCATTCATAGTTTGTTCTCTTTGTGCTATCACTTTGAATTATGTTTTTCAGACCCAAACTTAAAATGAGGTGCTTCGAAGCTAATACCTAATGCTTCCCTAACAGTGATCGCTTTTGCTTTTGATGTTCTATACAAACACTTTTAGTAAACCACGAAATACATTTCCAATTTAACAAGTAAGTCGATCAAAATAACTGGTTAACAGTAAAACAATTTTTAGGTCAGTCATTTCTATTAGGTAATACTTTTAAAATATAGCACGTGTATCATATCACAGCCACGTAAGGGCATAATTTTTATAATTGAGATCATTATAGCTTAGGGTAGAGATGAGCAAAAGCCAGACCCGCGGGCCTAATGAGGCCCTTCTAATCACATACTCCAGCTCGTTATGAAATCCTGTACAACGACATTATCATCTCTTTCCTACCGGATTTTATACTGGAATTACCGAAATCAGCAGCAAAAGTGCACATGTGTTGCTAGAAAGCATGGGCATTCTCCGATTTGGTTTGGTTTATTTAATTAAGGCAAAGCACACTAGGGCTATCTGCCTGAGGGATGCCTTCGTGGAGGACTTTCTAAGAGAAACTGATTCGTCTACACGTTACACATGGGGAAAAGCACGAAAAAGCCCATGCAGCCAGCCCGTTCGCGAGATTTGAACCTAGGACCGAACTACTAGTGTTCAGAGACTTTACCGCTCGGCCGCTGGTGGAAGGGCATTCTCCGAAGAATATAGCCAACCATTTCTAACAGCTTTAATTTAGAAACTAAACAATGGCATTTGAATATTGTTGAGATAAAAAGACTGATCAGAAAAGGAAACTTGCAAAAAGGACATTTTCACCTGAAAATTTTTATTTGAAAATGAAACATTATGCATATCAAATCATTTCGATAACCAGTAGGAATAGAATCCATTTTTGCCGCGATTATAATTTTTTTAATTTGCTATTTTTTAATTTTTTAATTAAAAAATTTCTACCGAGGAGGTGTTTCTCTCCCCTCCTTTATAACATCCTGCAAACAATAGGGACACTGTAAAAGATCGTCATGGACATTCTGCGCATAATGCACTTCAAAAAATGATTAAAAAATAATTTCTACCCCGCTAACAGTATTTGCCCACCCTCTGGTCCATGGAGTTTGAATGTTTTAAAATTACTCAAATTTAACAGATAAATTGCTGTTACGTTTTACATAAAATGTATATCTCAATAACAAACAAACTGGCCATCCTTGCCATGCTAGCAAGATGCTGTGTAAAAGAAAGTAAAAAAAAGCCTATGCATGAAATGTATACCTGACAGTAATAGCACCAGAGCATTTTATATGAAAATTAACCTTCTTTTAGGGAGATAACCCCCATATGATTTGCCACAATCTGATCTAACCTATTTTTGATAACTAGTAAAATGAATAGCTGGATGTAAGATTACCACCAATCTTTGATTTGTAAGAAGCGCTACATTTGCGAAACCTATTGTGATAAAGCTTAATAAAATCAAATATAGAGTAATAAGAATATTTCGATGATATGAGAAAACTAAATTATGACTAATTAACATTAAGAAAACACACGAGTTAATTATTTTCTGTCATAATTTATTTCTTTCTTCACCAGACAAACATAAAAAATCATGTAGTTATGAATATAAACTTCTTGATTTCACATTCGGATTTGCGATTAAAAAATAATAATTTACGCTAATTAGAAGAGGTTAACTAAATGTTTTCTTTTATCTAAAAGTCTTAGGAGAGATGGAGTTTGATTAACTGAACAATGAGCTAATAAACATTCTGTTTTTTTAAGTACTCATGAAGCACAGGATAGAGAAACAGAATAAAACATTTGTAAAGGACATTTACCTCTGAAAGTAGCTGGAAATTCTAAAACAAAAATAGTTCTGAAACCAACTCTCTGAAAAATTGATAATAATAAGCCAATAATCTCAGACTCTTTCACCAGATTCTGAATGAAAAATGGATAATAATGGAGAAGTACTGACGATGGGTTATTTGTTACATTCCAGTGTTCCTTCTTTCTCCGCGAAATAAGTCAACAACAGATCTTTCTGATTCCAACCAGAAAAAAGTGTGTTGCCAAAAACGTTATGAAGCTTTTCCTTAATAATGTTCGGCCACATTCGGTCGCATTGCTCCAGATGCTCTTGCCACATATTTGGTGGAAAACTTTGGACCATCTACCGTTAGTCCAAATCTGGCGTCAGTTGGTTTTCAAAGAATATCTTGTGGCCAGAGATTTCGAAATGAAGAAAATGTCAGAACGGATATGACACTGTGGGTCAGTGACCAAGGTACCACAATGGCGAAATGAGGAGTGAAAAATTTCTATCACGCGTTAACCCAGATTCGCAAATCTTCATACAGATTACAGTAAAAAATGATGTTTATAATATATAACATGATGTATAGGTCCAAATAAATTTTGCCGTTGAAATCATTGTTCCGTTCTTGTAGTACTTTTTCTCCGCCTTCACATAGGTATGCATTGTTTAAAGTTTGTGATGAAATAATTATTCATTAGACTGCTATTCTGATGCCTGCATATTTTGAGATGTTTTTAATGGTTTATTTTCTTACGCCTTTAACTTTCGACTTTTGAACTAAATTTGCGTAACTTTTTTTAAGATTGAAAGAATGCACTATTTATAGCTGTTAAACTTTCTTTAAATGGTCCTTAAAAACCAATGGTTTCAAACACAAAATGTGCGCTAGCCAAATGCAAGGACCTAAAAGTAGCTGACAGGCCGCAATTAAAAAAGAGGAAAAACGAAAAGGAATTTTTGCTGCTAACAAAACTATATATATATATATTATAAAATTACGTATTTTTCAAAATATGTATATAAAAGTAGAGACAAGAAAATTTTTTAATTTTTCCTTATTTTCTGCTAAATGTTGGTATCTGTAGGAAATTTCCATTTTCACAGTTTGTAATTCAAACAAATTGAAAGCTAAACATTAAAATTTTCAGACTTAAATTTATTCAAATAATCGGAATATATTGAAGTAACCAATAAGTAACTTGCTTTTAACATAAAATAAATAAAAGTAGAAAACTGCCCAAGAGGGACAAAATGTGAGAATAAATGATGAAATCTATTCCCTCTCATTTATTTATTAGATTACTTTGTGACTTATACAGAAAAAATTATATGTTTATCTAAATAATTATAAACATCTTTGTTTCTTACTACACCTTTTACCTACGTTAAATCATGGCATTTCGATTTTCATAATGTTTATGATTTTAGAGAAGAACTACTGAAAAGAAGCATCATCACAAATTTTAAATACTTATTATGGGCAGTCTGGTTTGTTGCGTAGACTTTATTAAGTTTTATCTACGAAAACAACTTTTCACATGTAAGTGTACTCCCAAACAAAGCAACAATGCTAATTAATTTACACGGAAAACGTATTCGCGACCGCATGTTGCGCGTGGGCCTCCATGTGAGACAACTGCCATAAACGAAGCAAAGCAAATAATGTACATGTTTTAAATCACGTTATGTAACTTGTTTAAAGTTCTGCATAAGGTTTTCTGTTTGCAAACTGTAGAAAAATTATTCTCTGAAGGACAAGTTGTTATGCTGACTAACTACCCAAACTAACTGTGGGATTTCAGCATTCAGGTGCCGAAGTTCATAGGAAATTTTATGAATTCTTTCTTCGTAATCTTGAATGTTTCCAGTTTCAGTCGCA